TATTGTACCATAGATCATATACAAGTTAAGAAATACATTTATAAGACTATCATAATATCTTTCATCAGATTATCTATACAATGTTGAAAAACAGTGGTTTTGTTCGTGCACTAATAATAAACTATAGAGGATTAGAGCCAGCATTTACTGAAGACGTAGCTTTTCTCAATAACTTGTCTTTTGGCCTGTCTATAGTCAACTAATTGATTTGAATTTAATTCAAAGTATATGTTTCAGCTTATCAATAATAACGAATGATCGGGAAGTTTTTAAATAAGATGTTTATGGATTTTTTGACCCGCTAGAAAGTATTGTCGACGAGTCGAAAGCTATGATTTTGTGCTCTCTTCGAAATTTTGTCCAATCTTTTGTTCGAGAGTAGTGAGATAATCTTTGAAAAGCCAAAAGAAATTAAGTTGGACAGAAAATTTCTTCGTACATATCTATATTTTCACTATTCCAATTCGAGATTAATAGTTGGAATCATTATTTATATATCAGCTTGTAGATGAAAAGCTTCCCTACAAATTGCACTATTTGAAATATGTTTGCATCTTTCGACAAAGCTCCTCAATTTTTCCCAAAACACTCATTTTTGAAAAATCGGCAATCTTTTTATGTTGAGATGAGCTCTTGAAAAAAGTGCTTTTAACCTCACTTGGGTAAAATGCTTCAGCTTAGTTTAATATCACATTTTTCAGAGAAGTGCTCGTCCTACACAACGACCGATTCCGACAATTTTTAGCATGTTCAAAAATAAATTTATAGAGTAAACAAAAACCTGTTGATTCACCATTAAAAATAATTTTTCAAGTCAATCAAAAAGTTTCTCAACATTTGAAAACCGATATTCACAAAAGACACAAAATTCTGGTCACGACCTATACTTTTTGACTCGTCTGAAATGCTTTCAAGAAAGCCAAAAGTGAACAAACATCTTGTTTGAAAACCTTTCCAATCATTTATTATAATATAAACAATAGTCGAAATTATCATTACGTTGGCCTACTTTCTCAAAATACTATTACATAGTTGTTGATAACTGCTTATAATTTTTATAATTATGCAACTGCAACAAAATCAAATATTCAAAATAAGTTTTGAGTTTCTTTTATTCAAAGAATAAAGGATATTTACAAAATGAAAATCATAAAATATTAGTAGATATATGTAGATTTTCAATGAAAAATTACATGATTACTTTTTTTTTTATTTATAGTTTTTATCTTTCTTTGTACCGAAGCACATTTTGTATCATCAGACGATTGCACTTTATGTTTTGTTCGCCATTTTTTTGGACAACTAAATACAGCTTGAAGTTTTTTATTAATATTATCCGATGCCAAATCTAATCAACGTAAAAAAAAAGGAAATTAATTAATATATTAATTATATATACATGACTTACAAGTTTTACATTCCTCTTCAGTTAATGAACTTGTATATTTCAAACTATAAACATTTATAATGAAAAAACCAAGAATAATCAAAAGATAAAATCTCGAAAGCATGTTTTTGTAAATTCTGAAAGATATAATATGAATATATATATGGTCTTTGTTCATGACGTCAAAAAGTGGTGGGTGAGTATATGCTTTAGTAGGTAAAAAATAGAATAAGTAAACCAATCGTAAACATTTCTTCTATTTTTGAACTCAAACGTAGATATTTAATTATATTAATAACAAATATATATAGATGATGAAATCTATTATGTTGTTTTCTTTTCTTTTTTTCTTTTGGGTACAATCAAGAAACTTGATATTCAAGAATACATTACTATTATATTACGATGACTATTGAGAAAGAAAATGAAATTGTTTTTTCTTCTATGCAGAATATTTAATCTAGAATAAACGATGTCAATTGTATGCAAATGTTTCTTTGTTCTCTTCTTATCATATTAATGTCACTGTGACTATATATTATGTGAATTTACTCACTGTATGATCAAGGCAATTCGTTTTGTTTTGCAATTTCCTTTCATTTAATGATAATACATGTGAAGAAGTAAAATAATTATATGATCTTAAGTGAAATTTTGTTTATCGAAGATAATCTAAAATTTTGATATGATAGAATTTTTTATGTTTAAAGAAAATATGTCATTAACTTATAGTTTTGTTATTTTGAATGAAATTAAATAAACAAGATGGATAAATATCAATTAAAATTTAATATAGTATGCTATAAATAAGATTGTAATTGCAAGTTTTAAAAAAATATGGTTTTTTCATATGTCAAGGAACTCCACGATATCCCAATCATCATCAAAATGAATTTTTATTTAACTTAACTATAGAAAAATTCATGTCATTGGATTACAATTCGATGAGAATTGTAATCTGAAATAATATTTAAAAGTAGATATAATATCACTTTCAATTGAATACACTGAGTTCAAGGTACCCGTGTAACTAGGTCGTTCATTAGCAGAATACCTTTTTAAGTACTCTGTTATCAGTATGTTAGAGGATCTTGGTCAGATAGTCTCCTGAAAATTGTCTCACAAGGGAATGTTACTAACTGTTCAATCGCTGTTTAGCGAAAACCTAGCGGACTATAGATAATTGGCCATGCTAATTCTGCATATCACCATGATTTTAGTCACTCGATCGTCAAAGATCCAATTTTCTATAGCAAATTTGTTTTTTTCTATAGAGCATCTCGAGTGAGTATCAAAAAACAGGTTTTTTTTTCGAAATTTGAATCGTGACAGAGAGGGCTAGAAGAATAGAAAGTTCTAATTCTTATTATATCTGGCGCTTCTCTTTCAACACTTACATTCTATATCCTTTATCACTAACTTTTTTTTTGTTTATTTTTCAAATTTTCCGTTTAACTTATGATCTATTTCAAGCGATATTATTATAACATGTTTGTTCATTCTTTTAATACAATCAGTTTATGCTAACCAGAGGAAGACTTCGTTTGCACTTGTTTTACTAGTGATTATAGTTTTTGCTAATTTACTTCGTAGAAAATCTAAGTAACCATGAATCCTTTCACTATTGTCGACTGCCTGTAGAATTTAATTACTGTCAACTTAAATTAAGATTCCACTTCACCTGTAATTCAAAAAGAAAGCGGATACGTGAGTAATATAGACTTCGCTGTCAATCACACCTACACCATGTTTAACCTAAAGAAAACTTTGAACGAGATAAAGTCCTGGTGAAGCTTTTTTGTTCTCGGAACTAAAAAAAAATAAGAATTCAGTGTTCTTCGACGAGCTGAAGAATGCATTATAAGTGTCTAAACATAATGACAGAGCATAATGTAGTGCAATAGTAGGGTATATTCGATACTAGGATATCTAGTAATATGGAAATCCTATGAAAGATCAAGCACTAGGAACTTTTTACTCCTATAGCCTCCTGTATAATAATTAAAATTTTGAAAAAAATAGTTTTTTATTCGCAAATCGAGGAGTTCTACAAACTAGATGGATCAAAAACAATATTTTTAACGACAAAATTTTTTCGCTATAGAACAGTGGTTTTGCAAGAATACAGGATTTTTTAAAAGCTTATCAGTCAAAAAAATGTTGATTTGCGGTATTACTATGGTTAATCACTTAAAATTTGCTAGGTCTTGGGTAAAAAATGATTGAAATAGTTCTTGACCTTCCTTCATCAGAATTAACTCTTGATCATTGTCAACTTTATGTAATATTAATCTTTCGATTGATTTATGCTTTATGTTTTGTTTGTGTCTTTATTTTTATTTGTCGCCTTTCTTTTTTTTTCAAAAATATAATGTATATTCGATATGTTTACTAAATTTTATAATCAGATATACAAAAACTGAAGACTTTCTTGTCTCTATGAAGATTCTATCGGAGTATGAGAAAGAGATTTCAGATTCGGTGTGAGATAATTTTTTTTGTTTATTTTATTTTAAACTCAGAAATCAATATATCAAACCGTTATCCTTGTTTAATATAATCAATCATCGAAATGAATTGTTAACGAGATTTATAATGAAAACAGAACTAGAACTGATTTATTGAAACCAAGCTTGACAAGTATACTTACGAGAGAATATATTCAACTGATATCTACTTTTTGCGCGCATAATCTAGTTAAAAAGACGTCTAAAATGATTTGTTCTATTGGTTCTTTCTTCTCGATTTATGATCGTTTTATAGAATTTTCATCTTATCCTAGGATATTACGAGAAAAAAACTAAATTAAAGAATTCCAATCAGAAATTTGCCCCAACCTCAATTTCATATCTTTCTCATAAAAGAATCATGAATATCTATTTGTTTTTTTTTTTGAAACATAATATGAAGAAATCTTGTGCTTATTTTATGGAAACATATTGATAATCTAATTGGGAAAGAATATTTTTTAACTTAAAAAAGTGTGTTGTAATAAATAGCTTAATAATTGATTGACATATTTAGTTTTATTATAATTAACATCTTCTTGGTAAAAGTGTAACAGTTAACAACGTGTCTAGAATAAACATTGAAGAACTATATTCTGACATATCTCAACTCAGATTTTCTTTCACACATACAAATGCATCATTCCAGAAGAATAATTTACAAACGCAATAATTCTATTTTGATTTACGAACTATTTTATTTGTCAGTATACAACTTAGCAAGTACAAGTAGACACTTGCAATTTTACATTTTAAAAATAAATTTTTGATTAAATGATTGTTAAAAATCTGATTATTGGAAGAGATAAAAATTCAAATAAAAATGAGCATGATGAGTTTGTCTCATAATCGATATAAAAATTATATTGCAAAGATAGAAAAAAAAAGACTGCGATGTTTGGACTAATTGATATCACTCATAGATCGACTTGATAGTCACAATCAATTGATAGCTATTAGTTTGTACGTTTTATAAGACTATGCGCGCCCTCCATCTGTTATGTATATACATTGGTTTTTATTTCACCTATTAGAAGTCTCTTTATGAATGACACAGAAAAACAATTTTAATCGATACGTGTACACACAACGTAGTATCCTCAACAATGAATGAAGTAATTTTCTGTTAAAATTAATATTTAGTAATTATTCTTAAAATTTAGGAAGAACTTGAAGTACTCAAATCGATTTATGAATCAGATCCAAATTTTTCTATTATCAATGACAATACATTTCAGTACAAAGTGAGCTTAGAATGTATGTTTGATTGAAATGAAAACATTTCTAAACAAATTTCTTTTTATTTTACTTTTTAATAAAGTATATACTCGATGATGATCGTTTCTATTTGGTTGAAATTCATTGGCCTGAAGGTTATCCAAATGTAATACCGAAAATTAATCTTGATTTATTTAGTAATCGTCTTTTGTAAGTTTATTTTATTAAAATAGGTAGTTTTTTTTTCTCTATTGTTTCTTATTATTTTCAGAACAAATGATTTCAAAACTAAACTCATAGAAAAACTAACAAATGATGTATGATTGAAGGTTTTATTATTTAATCAACAATATTTATTCTTAGGCAAACGAACAATTGGACATGCCAATGACGTATACTCTTTTCGAATCAATTAAAGATTTTTCATATGATGGTAATATTTTTCAAAGTAGCATTGTAAGTATTTAATAAATATATATTTTTTCTTTTGTATTTTAAAAATGACTTTAAATCTTTTTGATTTTGAGTCAAAAATATGTGCGTTACATAAATTCAAATGAGCTATGAATACTGTGAAAAGAGCTCGGGCTGTTAGCCTGTTGCTGTGGAGATACTGTAATTTTACGGTATTTTTTAAATGAATGCCATAATAACAGAAAAATTGATTTTTGAATTTTGATTTGAAATTTTGCATAGAAACAGATCTTAACGAGAGTAGTTTCAGATCTTTTGATTTGCTTCTATCTTGAAATAAAAACATCAAATTTGCCGTTTTATATGAGTGATATGGATGACACGCCAGTACTATAATTGTATTGTAGAGTAGGAACAGCGATCAAGTCTGAAACATTTACCATAAACTATTCTCATGTAGTCCGGTCTCTATGGAAAGTTTCAACTCGAAATTTGAATGTCAATTTTTCTGTTATTAGGGTATTCATATAAAAAATATCGTAAAACTGCATTATGTTTGCAGCAATAAGCAAAAGGTCCGAACTTTGTTCAGGATATTCATAACTCATTTGCTTCTGCATAATCTCGACGTGAAAAGCAATTAGAGGACTTCTCTTGTAAGATAAATTAAATTCTTTCGTGTTCTAAATTTTAATCTTATAAAGTTTGTACGGAAGATTTTCTTTTTTTTTAAAGATATCCAATATAAATACAACAGTACTATCGTCAACTACAACAACACCTTCTATATCAGGTATACCAGTTATAAAAAAAGAACAATTAAGTAAAGCACAAAAACGTCGTCAATGGAATAATCGAGTTGCTGGTGACGATGGACAAAGACCTCGTGGTCATGATTGGATTGATATTGTTCGACATTTATCTCAAACAGGAAATAAAATTCAAAGTTAAATCTCTTTGCTGTTTTATTAAATAAAAAAGAAACGAAATTCTAACATCTAATTTAAAATTATTTTCCAAACAAATATTTCATTCGATGATATTGTTATTAATAAATCATTTGATTTATTAAATTTTATATTTGATATTATATCATTATGACCAATAAAATCTTGAAATGTTTCCTGAGTATAATCTTTTAATTGTATTAAACGATCTTTTGTACCAATAGCTATTAAATAATTATCATTTTTCATAGTTGATAAATCAAAACATGAACACCAATGATTTAATAATATGGTTCGTATTATTTGTTTTGTATCAATATTATATATTTTTATACATTGATCAATATCATAATCCGTATATATAATTAAATTAGTATCAATAAAACGTGCTAAACTTGGCGGAGATAATTGCCAATGATTTGTTGTATGAGATGTAGAAAATGTTAACCAATCAATAAATGAACATAAATCAAATTGTTGATTTGATTTCCATAAACTAACACGTCGATCATGACTAGTAATTAACCACATATAAAAATTATTTTCTAATAATTTTTTTGAATCAATTATACAAATTGGTACTGAACGACAATGTTCATTGAATACACGCAAGATAATACCTTGCATTAAATTTGATATTACAACAGAGCCATCCAATGCACCGGAAAGACAAATTATTGCTAAAATTATTCATAAATATTATTTTAAGAAAGAAATCATTTTCTTTTTTTTATTTAAATACAAACTATGCAAAGGAATATGAATTGTAGTTATTGATGATGTATGTGGCTGTAATTTAAGTTGCATTTGTTCATGTAAAAGATTAAAAATTCGTACTGTTCCATCATTATATCCAGCAACAATTGATCGAAGAGTTGATTTTATATTTTTCATAGGAGTTGTTATATCGGATGTATCATTTGTTAGTGGAATAGAATTATCCCATGATGTTAAACAAGTTACTTGCTAAATGAATTAAAAAACAAAAAAAACAATAAAAAGGAGATTATATATAGACATGCATCGAATTCGAACACTGGCTTGCTGCTTCAGTTTGGAAACTTTTTTAGCATGTCTACAGACGTTTGGTTTTCGGGTCATCTATTCTATTGTGTGTAGATCTACCATCGCCTAGTCTGAAATTCTTTCTTGTATCTTACTTCTATTTGTTATTATCTGCTCACTGAACGTGACCACAGTCAAGAGTGAACGTTCGGATTCGGTGCACCCCTAATTATGTATATATAAGAAATAAAAACATACTAATCCATGCGTATTAAAACGAAGAATTTCATTTCGATCATCTAATTGAAAAATTCGTATTGTACCATCAAGACTACTTGTAACAATATGAGTATCTTCAATAGGAATTAAACCAGTTATTTTATCTGTATGTGATGCAACAAGACGAGTTTTTGATTGATCTGTTGTCCAACAAATATACCATAGAGATCCACATAATGTACCAATAATACCCATATCGAATGCGTTATCAAATGATCCACTTATTATTCCATCATCTAATTGAAATTCATCTTGTATTTTTAAACCATAACTTCTAAAGCAAAAAAAAAAGGAACTGAGTTATTCTCATTATAGAAGAAATTATCGAAATTCTATTTTAAACTTACGAATCCATTGAATTTAATTGTTCTAAATTTGTTTCAAGATTTTCTATATTCCATAATTTCAGACATCCTGTTGATGATCCAGTCAATAATTTATACTTTGTTGTTGCTATATAACATATTTCATTCGAATCAGCTTTCCAATGAAGAATACATAAACATAAACGACTATTCCAACATGTTATTAAACCATTATTCATTGCACATAAAACAAGATTTACAATTGATGTTAAATAAACACATGCTGTTATATCACATGATGTTTTCGTATGCTCATTTAATAATAATGGAATTTGTCCATTAACAACTTGTAAGCGTAATTTATTATCATCTGCTTGTTCATTAATTGTACAGAAACGAAGAAAACCATGTGAGCCACCAAGACAAAATTCATTAGTCCGTATTGGATTCCAAGCAAGACAATTTATATAAAATGATAAATGTTCATCTTGCCAGTTCAGTAAATGTGTAAAGTTATTTTTCGACCATAGACTAACCATTGATTTTCGATAGTTACCAACTGTAACAAGAAAACGATCATCTCTATAAATCAATAAAATATAACATAAAAAATCTTTTTAATTATTCTTACTTCGAAAAAGCCATCGATTGAATTGCTTGAACTGATACATGAAAATATGTTTTTTGTCGAAGTGTTTTTGTATCCCAAATAATAATCTTTACTTGTAATTCTTCTTTCTTTATTGGTATTGAACATTGAGCACTGACTAAAACCGTTGCATCATTTGATAATGTCATAGTTGATATTTCTTCTGTGTGTCCTATTCAATGAGAGAAAACAAAAAAAAAAAAAGCAAAAATCTATAATAAATCTTGAAATATCAATCATTATATTCGATTTACCAGTTAAAATAGTTTGACGATTACTATTTAGATTTTCTACAATAATATTACAACCAACAGTATAAGCAAAAAAACCTGTATGTGGATGCCAAACAAGATTTTCACGGCCATTACCATTATAACCAATAATTGTTTGAAGTTTTAAACTTTCTTGATTAATTGGTGCTAGATATCGTTTCTGAATATATGTAGAAAAATATTTATTTATTTTCATTTTTAAGAAATAATAAAATTACTTTTGCTAATTGTGAATGATTAATTTGTTGAATAAAATGACGTCGAATAGATGATGGAGAAAAAAAATATTCATTATCAGTTTGTTTTGTTAGTAATTTTTTGTTAATAATTTTTCTTAAAAATTTTATAATCATAATTTGAAATAGAAAATAAAAGTCAATTATTTACTTTTCGTCTTGAAAGATAGTCACTGTTTTATCAATTTCTAAATTTGATAATGAACGTGTAATAGGATGTTCCTTAGTTTGTTGAGAATTATGAAATAGTTCAGATGAATTTCCTGATTGATCTGAACTTGATCGGACTAATGTATGTTCAAGAACTTAAGAAAAAGAATTTTTTTTCTAAATTTCAACATTCTTATAATTTACTTTTTGTCATCATCAATTGTGGGGAAACAATACATTGTGCATTACTAAAAGAATTTTTCTATTTAGAGCTCTTTTTTTTTTCTTGATGAAATAAAATTTTTTACTTTGGCATTATTGGTCGTAATGTATTCCAAGCAAGAACATTCCATATTAATATTGAATCTCCAATGCTTACAACATGCATATTATCATCAGTAAAAAATATTTTTCGTATTTGTTCAGAATGACCAACAAAATTCTACAATGTAAATTCATAGAAAATTTTCTTTTGTTTTTTGTTTTTAATTAAAGAGAATTTACTTGAAAATTTATATCTAATTTCATATTAGCATCCCAAAATTTTAACATACCATCACCACCAGTTATGAGATATTGACTATTTGAAGATAAAGTTAGACTATCGAATGAATGTTTGTGAATATTATCAATCTATAATATAAATTTAATCAAAAAAAAAAAAGAAAATATGTAATCGTACAATATTCAATAGTTTTCCAGTATATGAATCAAATTTGAGTAATTTTAAATTAGTTGTTGCAACAAATAGATATCGATTCGGTGTAAAACGTGCAAATAATGCTGCTTCTGATGATGTTATTGTCTGTTGATCATTTGTCATCAATGTACAATTGCTTATATCAATTCGTAATGTTTGATTAAGACTATTTATTTCAATAATTGTAACAGTAAATTTTGTAGGTCCAACATAAACTGCATATTTACCATCTGAACTAATTGATAATGGAATTAGTCCTTTTTCTGATGTTATTAAAGCTTTAGCAACTGTTTTTTGTAATTTATAATTGTCCTTGGTATCTGATAAACATAAATCACCTTCTTCATCACTACTTAATAAATATGATCCATTATGAGAATAGAGTAAACCAGTAATACTCATACTATGATGCCTAAAAAGTAATGCGTTTATGTAGAAGATCTGCCTATCTTCAATGTTATCATTTTTTTACAATAAAAATGGTCATAAAATGATTCAAGTTTACAATAAATTAAACTATTCATTTTTATTCATAAATAAATAATTTGAATACGATATAATTTAATAAGAATTATAGAAATACAACCACTAAAAAATGAGGTAATATTAAATGATTGAATCAATTAATTTTTCGAATTATGTTGAACTCTATAATAACTACGTAGTTTCGTATTTAAGGAGTTGTGACTAGAGATGTACAGAATCAAGTTTTGTCATTCGTCGTAATTCTGATCTGTTTTCGCCTCCAATGATTTAAATTTTTCCAATGAGAACTTCCGATTAGAGAAAATTACGTCAGAATTTATTTGCATTAAACTTAAAAAAAGTTTTTTACATACTCATGCTTCAGATATACTTAATTAACGAAGCTCATCATTTTTTCAATCATCTCTCCTAAATTTCATTTCGACTGATATGACTTATAGGATCATCCGCTTTAGAAATCATAGTTTTTCAAATAGGAAATCCTCTTTCTTGGTAGTCCTACACATTCTAGTTGGAACCGTTTCATATGACGAATATGAATTTCACCGTACTGACTTTTGCACTAGACTTTCAGCAATAAATGATTTAATCTTGTCGAAAATCCAACGATGAAAATGTTTTTGACTTTTCGAACAATATTCTCAGTCAATACTATAGATGTTTTATGATTCTATACGAAGACTATTTAGGCGTGAATGATTTACATACGAGCAAGGTGTTCTGACTATTGTTTGATTTTTGTATTGTTGATCATACGACTGTATGTTCAATCGAACTTATTCTTTTTTGCTTACTGAATTTTACATTGAACAGCAACACTTTTGTATTATTGTGATGTATTATGCTTACTGTTCAAACGGTTTTCTTTATATGCATCATAGTCAGCATAATGTTCGTATGAACTATGACTTAGAATAGTTAAGGAATCTGAACTCATATTTGTTGATTTTCTAATCATTGTACTTTGATAACAAAGTTCGATTTTATAAACAAAATTAATTACTGGATTTTAAGATTCAAACTAAATAATCGGCAATAAGCGACATTTAATTTTTACTACACTTTCGCTCTTACCAATGTTGAACTATTAGCCAATAGTGAAATTTTTGTTTTATTAACGGCAAAAGTCTTGTAGCAACAGAATATTCAACAACCGCTGAAAATCTACCGTAAAAATTAGTATTGCGAAACTTCTATTTCCTTTTTATATCAAATCTTTTTGTAATAGCATATACTGATTCATAGTTGTGAACTACCATGTTCAATAGAATTTTTTTTACAGTTGAAAAATATCCTCACTTGATTTCATTCAATATAATTGATGTATTTAAATCAAATATTTTAATTGTTCCATTATTAAATCCACAAGCAAATATTTGTCGATTTGGTGTATATGTAACAATCAATGGTATTTCTCGTTCTGAAGTAAACTCTGATAATTGTTTACCAGTACGAAAACACCATATTCTTATTGTACCATCTTGTCCTACACTAATTAATTGTTTTCTTATATCATCATAATCAATATCAGTGATAGATTTAATATGTGTACGCATTAAATTTAAATGTGATTTTGTAACAAGATTTAATATATTAAGTGATCCAGATATTGTTACAATTAATATTCGTGTTTGATCATATGATGAGACTAAACCACAAATGGTTTGATCATATTTAGCTTCAATATATACTTGAGAAAAATCTATTGACCAAACACGAATATATCCATCATTAGAACCTGTTATAAAAAAATTATTTGTACATGCTAATGCAGATATACTAAATAATAATCCTTTATTCATGATAATTTTATCAGATAAATTATGAACTTTAATTATACATCTTTCATCATATAATAATTCTAATATATGTCCTGATTTTGTTGCTATATAAATAATTAAATCATTTAATTTATTATTAGATAAATGTTGAAATTGTAAATCACTATATTCTAAATGATCAATATTATTCACTAATATATTTATTGATTTTAAATCATTTTCATTTCTAATACGCCATAAACGTATATTATCTAAAGCAATCGATATAAATTTAGTTGTATCATATGGAATAAAACGTATATGTGTTATTGATACATTTGTTATTGCTTGACATATTAATTCCATGGAATATTTAGATACATTTAATACATTATAAACAGAAATAATTGTATGAGATTGTTCATCGTGACCAACAACAACAAGAGATGAAGAAGAACTTCCTACTCCAAAATCAAGTGCATGTAAATCATGTGTATTAAGAACACGAATAGCACAAATACAACGACGATTTTCGAATTTCCATAAACGAAGAATAGCTAAGATTGACAATATGTTTATATATATTTACAATATTAATCAAAAAAATAAAGCTAAAGTATTTTTGGATTTTTTTTCTAATTACAATAGCAATCATTTAACTAAAATTCAAATACTAGTTTGAATAATCAATCAAATTCTGTATCAAATGCATTTCATACCGAAATTTCATCGATGAACTATGAGAGGAAAGTTTATGAAAACGAAATGCGTTACCTTTCAAATCTTAGAAAACTATGTGAAATTTAGTTCTTAAGAGTACTATCTTAACGAATACAACGTTTTGAATTAACTGAGAGGTTGTTGCATTTCCTACAATCGTATCTTAATAAGTTTTAAGCATAAGAAAACATGAAAAACGAAATTTATCATAGCATTGCTAAAAATCGCATTGTTCTTGTTTTTTGTGATGCTTATAACTTATCAAGGAAAGGTAGTAGGAAATGCAGTAACCTACTTTGGTTTTATAATTTTGATCTTTGTTGAATATCCAATATTTTAATAAAACTGTATTCCTTACCATTGGGTCCTGTTTGTATTGTTGCTAATAATGATGAATTACTATTAAATGCAATAGCACTTATTTTATCTGTATGCCCAATAAAAAACCATTGTTGCTGTGTTTCAATATGCATTTGAACAACAATAGCATGTGATGAATAAAGTACATAATTACCATCTTGTGTCCATAATAAATTATTGAAACCACTGCTTAGACCAATAACAGTTTGTAAACGAAGTATTGGATCTGGAAGAAGAGTTTTAAGATGATGAGATTGCTGAGAATGATCAGCTGTTAAAGCAAGATCATTATCAGAATTATCAGTCATTGAACACCCTGATCGAATCGATTCTGGATGAACAAATAGATGAATACCATCATTACTATTATTATGAAATGAACTAGAAGAATCATTTATAGTTGGTAACGATGGAAAACGATCAACTGGATTATTATATGTACGCCAATTGAGCTAGATAAAAATTTAAAAAAAGCTATTTGTACAATCCCTGCACAAGTAAAATATAAATCAGAATGTAGCTGCAGCTGCTGTTAATTACACCTTTTACTTAATTTTCCAGTAATGCAATAAGGAAATAGTTCATATATTGTAACGAGACCTTATTGAAATACGTTCTTTAATCGTATAGCAATAACGTGTGGCATGTTCTTATGGTGACGTCTGTGAAGGGTGGGATTCGAATTTGTACCTCTATACTTCGACACTTCTTTTAGATCGTGTTTCACAAAAGTATTTCGACAAGATTGTGATTAGTTACTCGAATAAAACTTCGAAATTATTTTTTTGCAATTAATTATTACAATACCTGATTATCTCCCGGAGATACAGATCTATGTGTAATATGTGATAAATCAGTTATTGATGTACTAATTTGTCCATTAACAAGTGTTGTTTGAGCAGTTACTGGAAATGATTCATCATGCTCAATTTGATTTAAATTTTGGTCATCTGTTTTTAATTTTCTTGGTGTTGGTAAACGTACATTACCAACTTTATCAAATGGTTCATTAGGATTTTTACCCATTAATGATGACATACTTGGAAACATAATAAAATCATATTTATCATGCCAAGTTTCACTTTTATCAATTGGATATGATAATTCACGTGGTAATGAACGTATACCAGCACGTGTTAGACCTGTTCGCTTAGCTGTATCATTATCAATGCCAGGTTCATATAAAAATTGTGATGTAAAACAATTTTTAACAAACATATTTCCACATAATTGAAATGATTTTATCATATGATAATGTTCATTTGTCATATATGTTAATAAAATTGTTTGTAAATCTAAACATAACACCGACCAATGAATATCTGTACCTGTTGTCATATAAGGAAATTGAATAGATGTTTGTGTTGTTTTAAATTCACGATATAAATTTGATAATGAAATACGTATAAGATGTTGTTTATGTGTTAGAATATCAATATGTATACAAAAGTATTTATCATATATTGGTCGAAATAATACATAAAATAAACGACCTGTTAAAATAAGATTTTGATTTAATGATTCAGATGGAAATTGAATATAATTATTTTCTGGTACTAAACCACGTATACGATATACAACTGATTTCAGATCACGATCCTAATTACAGAAAAAAATGATTAATTTTATGTTATTGTTATTGCTTTTATGAAAAATTTATATTTTACTATGATCGTAGAAATATCCCCTTGTTTGACACATCTTTTAGATGAACTTATATCAAAATGTTTAAATATATTAACAAATGGATGTTGCCATGAACTGCTACTCATCGTTTTAAAAGATTAATGATTGATGTATTTCTTTTCAGATCTACCATGAGTATTGAACTAGAGAGGTCAAGTCGCTTAGCAGACTATGAGAATTGTATTGAACATATAATTAATATTAGTGACATCTATTACAATATAAACCAATAGTGGAATCGATTCGTGTTGTCAACTTCAAATAGTTTGTTGGTGAGATATACTTACTTTTTGACGTAATATATGCACCGTCTCTTCACTCACAATTGTGTTTTGTAGTCTGTTATTTTATTTATATAAATAAGTCAAAAGGTGCACAACGTATAAAAAAATCTCAATATAAAATATGAGAGTAATTCTAATCGGTGCTGGCATATCAAATGCTTTAATATCTTTTTTACTTCGTCGACAATATGGTCCTGAAATAAATCTTCTTGTCTTCGATAAAGGCCGAAGCATTGGTATAAAATAAACTTTTCCATTTTAAAATTTTAATTTTAATTTTATAATTATTTAAGGCGGTCGAATGACAACTAGCTATGGTAGTGAAGAAAATCGTCATTGTTTTGTTGATATTGGTGCTCAATATTTAACATTAACTAAATCAAACAGTACAACAACAAAGTAAATTTAATCTATTCTTCAAAAAAAAATTCAATCAAGATTCAAATTAGATTTTTTCAACAATTAATCGATGATCGTGTTATTGAATTACTTGATAGGCAAAATATTATTGGTATGCATGAAAAACCAGATAAAATTGATTATATTGCACCACGCGGAATAGCATCCGTTGTACGATATTTTTTTGAACAAGCAGGTTAATTAAACAATAAAAACGAAATGAATATTAATTAAAAATTTTAGTTGTTGAAATGAATCTTTCAAAGCATATAACAAAAATTGATCTTAATTCAACAAATAATAAATTTGGAATATCAACTAATGAAGAAAAATTAGATGAAGCTGAAGCTGTTATTGTTACTGTTCCAGCACCACAAGTACTTACTCAATTCAAAGGTTCTATTGCTAAACTAATAGGTATACATGGACGATTGCAAGTAAAACAGGACATACACACCTTTCAATTGACTTGGACTATTTTTCTGAATAACTTCTTTTAGCATAGATGTGTATAAAAAGGTTGATTCTTTCAGCTAAGTGTTAATTAAAAATTGATTATGTGTAATTTTCGACAATGTCAAACTCAAAAACCACTGCCTCTTACAAATCAGGTTTCTAGAGGTTCTAGAGAAAGATTAATATCGTTTAGAACTGGTTTTGATTTTCTAATTTTGCGCAGTCAAGTCACTTATGAATGATTTTGCTTATATAATAAAGTCTACTTAAAAAATTTATTTATTTATTTTTTTTTTCAAAGAGGATAACAAAGAAGTCAAAGATAAACTTGGTCAAGTTAAATACTCTAGTCGTTTCTCTGTTGGTCTTTTTTATCCACCTTCAATAACAAATCTCAATATTCCATGGCGCATCTATTATGTCGATAAAAATGAAAATGATTGTCTTCGGTATCTTGCAATAGATAATGTAAAAAGAAATAAAAGTTAGTTATTGATTTGTAACTTTTGTTTTTTTCTAATTGATAAAATATGTGAATTAATTGAACTTTAGACGAACCACCTTTTTCTTTGATTGCTCATACAAATATCGAATTTGGTGCAAAATATGCTGAAGCAGATAAAGCAATTATTGGAGAACAAATTAAGGAAAATATCTTTCAATTTTTACCTAAACTTCCACGTGATATTAGTAATACAAAATATCATAAATGGAAATATTCACAAGTAAATTTAGAAAATTCGATTATCAAATGAAATATTGATTGACTTTTTTTGGATTTAGGTTATTCAATCGTATCCAGATAAACCAGGTTATGTTTTACTCAATGAACATCCTTTGTTAGTACTTGCTGGTGATAGTTTTGCAGCTGAATCCTCATTTGAAGCGTGTATTGAAGCAGCAATTGAAACAGTGAAAAAAATTTCGGGATTATTTAAATAAAGACTACGATTTTTTTGTTATGTTGCGTGTGAAGATTAGAATAATTGAATAAATTTGATTTTCGCAGTTTAATTCCAATTTTAAACTACAAAATTAACTTATAAATAGATAAGATATAATATTTGTACATTGATTATCAATAATAATTTAATCAACAATGATGAATTTGTTAAAATCTATGATAATAATGTTCTCATTATGAATATAAATCAAATGTCGATTAAGAATGTTCTATCACTGCTCTGGTATCATTCATGGATTTGTTATCTATAGTTACGTAGAGTTAAAGCAAAGCATGGAATATCAGAAATCAAGTAATATAGGCATTATGTGATATATTAAATTACCTAGAATATAATATATCATATAATAATACGAATTATTTAAGTTCTCTTGATCTTAGGCGTGAGTCATCTGAATGAAGAAGATTCAATATTACTATAGTTTTCCATCAATAAGGTCAAGATGTTCCTAATTTTCTTTAATTTTATGATACACATAACTGAGAACTGGCCGTACGATTTCAATAACATAGATTTAATGACTTTCTTATTATGTCGCTCAACATATTCTAATACTTGTACTGTTTTGAAGTAGCTAATGACCACGTCGAATAATTTGATGGAAGTTTTGTGTTGAATTGTAAATACTTTGTTGTAATAAGCGGATGATTTCGAATATCTTTCATTAGTAAGCACGCTAAAGCAATGTTGTTATACGTGTTACAGCTAGTAAAGGACAATTATTGGAAGAAGTTTATGCTTATTTTTCAAATGTATAGCAATAATATGATAGTGCTATCAAAGATCTTCGTATTGATTGATGGAGAGAACATGATAGTAAAAAATCCTTTTTGACTTAGTCATATATTTTCATTGTGTACAATTACTAGTGAAAGGACCTGGCCGGATTTTGTCGACTTCTTCATTTAGTAAAACAAAATACAGGCTTTTTCAGAGCTTGAAAAGTTACATCTAATGGTATATAAAATAAATTGGTTTCTATTCAATTTCAAGAATTTTTCTAATATAGAATACAGAATCGGTGTGGATGCGTGGGTTAGGATCTTCTCTTGAATCAAGTCCAGAACCACACCCACACACCTCATTTTTTTTATCGATTTGCTAGACCTTCTTATAATTTCATCGGAGGTGTTGAATCTCCTCGAAATTCAAAGAATGCACATTTAACCATGCTGGATTAGAATGAGTATCAGATGCATAATTTCTAATGAAATCGATCGGAAACGTGAAAATGATCACTGTCTGGC